TGGTGCCACTTGTGGCATGGGTCCTAAACTTGTCCAAGGATATGACTTTCTTTGGGTCTCAAACCTTTGACTTGTTCAAGCTGTTGGTTGTAGCACCGCCAGCTGAGATGGTCTGCAATTCAGCTGTAGCCTAGGATGGGTTCAAGCTGCACTGGTGGGATCGTGTGCAGTGAGCGGCCTGCAATAAGCTCCATCGGTGCTCAAAGGCATTATTATAGATTACATGTAATGTAGCCCTTCAGAAGCCATTCCAAGACTGATAATTCATCCTTGAAGTTAGGCATGCTCTGGTGCAGTTTACGAGTGCTATTAGGACACCCTTCGCCTTCAACAAATTCGGAGATGCTCGAAAACAGTTCTATGCTTCTAACCTTGCTTGTAATCTTCGACCTTTATGTGTGCTTCTCAGAGACCTTGACCTAAACCTTGTGCTTTAGAGTCGAATTTCGTTGTCTCCATCCACGATACCGGCCTGAGTTTGACTGGCTTTCGCTAGCTTGTTTCGCAAAGCGTACATTGCCAGGGTGACAGTCTCCATAATAGCAACTCAAGAGGGTCCAGAGCTCTTTATCCGTGCTGTCCGAAACCGCAGCCACCTGAACAGTTCGACAGATGGTAGCATCCTTGATTGGCTTGCTGGAAAAACTGGATGAAGCTTGCACAAACGCAAACCAACCAAGAACCCTGATGGAATTCAAATCTGGGCTCTGAACCGATGAGAAGATTAAGCTGTCCCCCACCCCTGGCCAACTTGCCAAGCGAAATCTCTGGTTTCAGGACATGTATCGTTTTCCGCTTGCAGGTTATGAGGGATTATGAGGGTATCATAATGCCAAGTTTACCAGACTGCAGCCTTTGAAATCAGGATTGCGCCATCCTGAGGATTGCGTGTAAAGGAAGGGTTGTCACATGTTGTCATTAATGGCAAGAGGATCAAGTCTGTAGATTCCAGGACTTCGTCGCGGCTCAGCGCTGTGAAGACCGCAGGCCCGCAGTGGCAAAGGTGAAATCTGTGCAACTTCTGATTTGGGAATTCCCAGAACTTCTCGGAGAGAAGCGACCCAATACAAACAAGAGACAGGTAGGCAGACCCTTTAGATTCGTCCTCTGATGTAGCAACACCTAACAGCTCAGTGTAGAGGCTATGTGGACGCCAGTTGAGGTTTCTCAACGTGCAAAGGGAGGCTACAACCCTGAAACCCTCCCCAAGACATCACCAACGAATTGTCAGATCTATCCTATTTGATTCTGCGCTGCCATGGAATAAGATTTAAGTAAGGGCCGCTATCTGCCTGCCTTGGGTTGGCAATGAGCGCTGCCATGGTTGTCGCAAACGGTACGGTTTGCACATATGATGGAATGCCGGCAGTTCAAACTCTGATCCTTCGTGATTTTGCCCCAGACTACAGCAGTTCCCGGGGTGTGCGAAGAGGTAGCACGAAGAGCTAGCATTAGCTAGCAGCCGAAGGAACAGCATGGTAGTACTAGTTCGTTTAGGGTTTAGGGGTTTAGGGGTTCAGGGTTTTTTTAGGGAACCCTAAACCCTAAAAGTGATACGCACTAGCTCTTTGATGAGTTCCCCGCGGCTTTTGCGTTTCTGCAGGCTCGCTTTCTAAATTACACGGATCACATTTTGTAAGCTTCAGTGACAGGAATGTCATCGAAGTAGCAGGAACAAGAAGGCGCTGCACAGATGCAAGCTCTTCCATGCGGGAGACTGTACAGTGCTGCCTTGCGCACTTGTGCGTGGCAGTCCCATGTACGCTAGGCGTTAGCCCCATCCCTGGTGGAGTTCGCGTTTGCTGCAATGTATAAAGTGTAGAAATGCTTCTATCTAGCAAGAAGCATTATTGATTTGATCGCATGATAGCGCTTAGTTACTTTTCGCAGTTTGTTAACCATTTTTCTGGATTTCGCAAAAAGCAAGCTTCTTTATTTAGCCTCTGTCGTGCGATTACATAACCTGCAAAGGGTTTACGCGATGCCACGGTTTTACATTGCGTTTACAGATACCTTACCAAAATCTGCACACCTTGAAGTTTTAGTTCTGAGCTTCCTGAAAGAGCAGTAAACTGACTTGAAAGCCAAGAGGGGTCCAGGCTTCCAGATTTATGGTGATGAAAAATATGTTGTTTGATACTGTAGGCTCTTGTCGTTTCCATTGTGCTCAAGACCCCACTCCAGCAATCACACTTTGATATTTTGATCGTCAATTTCTCCGCAACTACAATCTCGGATATTAATTACCACGGTTTACCGATAAACGCATGGCATTCCCACAGCATTCTACCTTGACACGTTGTGATACGTTTTGATGAATGGCTCGTCCTGGACAGTGGGACGGAATGTGGGCACTTTTACGTAAACAGTGTTGGTTAAGCCATGTGCTGCTGTGCCAGTGTCAGTGCCATTTTTTGCACAAAAGGCCAAACGGGCTTGATTTGGCATGCGCAAGTTCCCTGAACCAGGTATTCTCACAGCAAGATCACGCAAGAAACGGGCTTGACTGTGCCAATTGCTTGATGTCGCCGTGCCTCCATGCCTACCCCGGATGCAAAAAGTTGTGTTGCTGCGCAGCATGCCTCCAGAAAATGAAGTTTATCATTTTCATGCATCTATGTGGGCGCCAATGGAACTGCGTTGACTGAGGCCTAAGCCTTGACCAGCTTTGGGTAGGCATAGCTGCAATTCTTCATCGCCAGATAGGAAGAGATTGACAGCTCCATCAAGGCAACAAAACATGGGGGGGGGCCGAGTTCACTCTGCAATCTTCAGTGCTTTTCACATCAGAGCACTGGCAAAATGTACTGCGTCACGTCCGGCTGTGTTGCCCCCCAGCTTTCCAGACAAACATCGAAGGCTTTGCATTTTTTCTTTCTGGCATGAGGATGCCGCATCACAGGATACACAGACCCTACGTTATGAAAGCCCCGCTGGACCATGTACCCGCTCATAGATGTCATAGATCCTCCCGTTTACGTAAGCTTCAAGATGCCAGTCAGGCTGAAATTCTGAGCCCTGAGACTGTACGTTAAATCGGAAACCCCTGACCGGCTGAAGCTGGCCTAGAGTGCAAATGTACAATGTAGGATCCATGTAGGAGTTTAGCAGTTTGGATCCTCCATCTTACAGGCTACACCGGCCAAGGGAATCCGGTTTTGGCAAAAGTGAAGTGGCTAATCGAATGCTTGTGCTTCATGCGTCGTTCCATGCATCTACAAGCCTTGCTGAACTGAGCAACGCTAGCAGCGATGTGGAACGATGCAGAAGGCGTTTAACCAGCAAGTTTTACTGCCGCCATTGTGGTCCAGAACGAAGTTTAATAGCGGGCTGACCTACTCCAAGCACTTGCTGGGTAGGGTTCTTCGCGCACAATGAGCCTCGGTCTTTGTTGAGCCAGCCTTGTCTTGACGGTGCGGCCACGGGAAAAGGGAAAAGCATGGCTGCCGAACCTTGGAGAGCCTTGGGGTAATTATCCATGTTTACTGTAGAATCCCAGCCCAACCCGCGAGATGAGTCCATACCCGATAGCTCTGAATGCAAAACTTACAGATCGCAAACCTGGAAGCCTGCAGATGGATCCTTGCTAAAGCCCTGATCTCCGAACTTACTTGAGGAAGCAATCCATTTTTCCATCGGCCATGATGTGGTGACGGCCCCAGTTTGACAAAGAAGGATTTTTTTTAAATGACATTTTGGGGGTCCATGGGTTCAAGATTTGCGGCCAGATTTCAGACTCGACGGCCTTGCTGTTCTACAGTAGTGTGCCATGTGTGATCCCGAAATGACATCAGAAAATCAACGTGTTTCAGGCCTCTCAAGCTGGATGAGGTTCAGGTAGAGGAAGTGGGCTTGAGGCTTCGGAGGTTTTGGGGTTGTTTAGGATTAAGTTCTCAGGGATTTTTAAGCTAGAGTTGAACATGTCGTATATGTGGTTACAAACAGTTGCTCATAAAAAAATGTAAGGCATTTCATGGATCCTCATGACAACATTTTCTGCGCCACGCGCACGGCATTGAACCAATTCCCTGATCAGTGATGAAGTGCGTCCCCTTGATTACAACCTGTCCCGGCCTGAAAAAGATTCCTTTGCTATGGGGGTCTGAATTTAAACAATTAGACAGGGCGCCCCGTTGATATCCTCGATTGACGCCTCGATTGAAACAACCTCTTTTTTCAAAAGGACTTTCTATGCCAAGCGAAGATCCCCAAGTTGTTGTTGGGCTTTGATGCCGGGACGATCTGCAACGTACATATAATATAGCCCTGGCCAAAAGAACAATCTAGGAAATAAAGGAGGGGTTGTAACGTATTAACTAGATAATTCTTGCACAGAAGTGTCTTTCTAAGCGCCTTACACCAAAAAAGCCTACTGTGAATAACTCCATGCTGACATGGTAGCTTACCTAGATCAGTTTGTATAGTGTGCATGCCATGTACTGAATGTGAATTCCGCAGGCGCCTTGAGTCAGAGCAAAAGGTTTCGCAGTCTCCTTGTAACTATCCTATTATTACCGATACTGGTAGCGGAGCAGTTGACAGCACCTGCATCCGGTAGGGTAGGTACTGTTTTGTACTCGGGGGCCTGCGAGCCCCAATCGACCCTGAATTCGCCCCCTAGGTTATTTGTAGATTTCTTCCCCGCTTTTTTTCGCCATGAGTGTAGCTGGTCTCCGGTATCAACCTAGAACCGGGACTTCTGGTACTCCTCAAGAAACCAGGGGAGGATCGTACATATACAATGGCGATCCAGCCAGTTTTCACGACTGGGAGTTCAGAACGCTTATGCGCCTGAAACTCTATGAGGACGCAATCCGATCTCGGAAGAAGACGGATTCCGTCAAATCGGATGCCACTGGCACCGACGAAGCCACTTCCTCAGACCAACCGGCTGAGGATGAAGAGCCTCATACTGAACCCGGAGATGAGGCCGATGAAGAAGACGGCAATCCAGCTAAGTTGTTGTGAAAGCCTGTGCCGAAGATTCTAAGAACTTCGAGGCTGTGGCACGGGTGCTGGTGGACCACTACTCCGGGGTCCACCTCCGTGAGGGCAAGTCCCTTGGAGGAAGCAGCTCAGCTCCTCGCTCAAATTTCCGCTACACCGGGAAGGGTAGCAAGCCTAAGGGCAGATCTAAGGGTCGCGCCTATCCAGCGGTGAGGAAGGCGACGAAAATGACGAGGACTCCTGGTGGGAGGAGGACTCGTGGGAAGGCTATCAACTTGAAGCCTATCCCGCCGCATCGTACCATGACGACGACCCCGAGCTGGTACCCCATGAGGACCAGGATTACGAAGAGTACGAGCTCGATGAGCCAGAGACCATCGCTCTTAACTCTAAGGTCATGCCATCCAGCTGCAATTGGCGGCCAATGCAGCCTTTGGGAAGGTCAAAGGTAAAGGCAAGCGCCCCAAAGGCAAGGGGAAAGGTAAGGGTAAGGTAGTAAGATCACACCTTACTCTCGAGCAACGCCGAGACAAGCTTAAGGCCTTGAAGGCGAAGAGCAAGTGCCTTGGCTGCGGTGGCACCGGACATTGGGCCGGTGACCCAGAATGCAAGTTCCCGAACGGGAATGGTAGCGGAGGTGGAAAACCCCGTGCCCATGTTGCCATTATTCAAGACAGTTCTTCTGACGGTTTGCGTATTGCAGCAGCAGCCGGTTCGCGCACAAGCTTTGTGGTGAACGAACGCCAACCTTTGCCACCTCATCCGGGGCAAGGTTCTGGGCGACCAAAATCCGCGCCAATCGCAGCCCCTAGCTCGCGACCTTCGGGCGCGAGAGGATCAGCAGACACTGCTATGCCAATGGTCATGGCAGGAGGTGATCGGAAGTTCTATCTTGGTCAATTCCAGGGTAAGACTTACCACGAATTGGCGCAGAATATTAGCCACATAGCTTGGGCTAAGCAACAAGTAACACCGTCGAAGCAACTCCAAGATTTCTTAACTTGGTTCGATAGGTGCTACGTGATTACGGGTGGAGCCGTTGAGCTAAGAGCCTCTCTAGGAATTCCAGAGGGCACTTACCAGCCCCGATCTAAGCCGACGGGTGGTAAGAAGGTTCCGCCGAACCCTCCTCTCGAGCAGAAGTGCCGAGAATGCAGGGATTTCTCCTATGCAGGATCTAGCGGAAACTATGTGCAGAAGACCTGCCGCGATTGCAGTCACAAAACTAAGGAGAAGCGAGAGCTCGTCCTTACGCATGATCCTGCGACATGCCCCCATAGCATCACAGACACAGATCATCGGGGTAGCTCACGTAGCACCCATCGCACTTTCTGCAAGCAGTGCGGGACATTCATAGAGGAAGTCCCGGGCGACTTTCACAAAGAGCGCCGGAACGCTGCAGAACAAGTCCTCAATGCAACCCTATAACCTCCGAGGACGCAACAACCTGTTTAGATGCTACTTTAGTAGAGGGCATCATAGGCGTGTTTGCCGATAGGGTATCGACCATGGTGGCGATAGAGCAAGCCATTAGTCCTCAGACACTGCATGACGTGCTGAGAGATTGCATCATCGAGATTACTGATGATCCGGAATCTCCTTGGTCCCAAGTCAACGCTGGCGAACCTAGCCCGGTCGCAATGATGGGACTAATGCAGCCCAACTATGGTGTAAGGTTTGCAGAGAGCCCTCACTCTAGCCTCTGGTATAACCTTAGTGCAAGCCTGCTCAATCGCCATAGACAAGAGGTGTTTGATGATCTTAGGGATCTACTTAGGCCACGTACCACGGAAGAGACCCCCAGAGTTCAACCTCTCTATGCAGGACCTTTGAGGCCTGCAACACCTCCACCTGCTGATGAACCCAATCTAGACGAGCTGGACGAGGTGTGAGATGGGGAACTTCTGAGAGTTCATGATCAGTGGGCTGAATATATGGGATGTTATGGGGAAGACCCTTATGACCCATATTTAGAGTGCTCCCCTTCTAGGAGAAACGACCTTACTGCAATTAGGTCCCCTTCAGAGCTTCCTAGTATAGACCTGTTTGAGGGCTATACAGGACCTTCCCACTTATTACAAGGGCGGATGATTTATATGAGGCTAGGACCCCAACATTCCCTAGACCTTACACTGTAGGGTTACCCCTAACTCGCCTTGCTCAGAAGCCGACCCTCGATCAGGATGAAGACGAGGTGGATGACACCCACTCTCGCGCAAGGACCTCCGACAGGGGTGCCGCGCAATCACAGCCTTCTAGGTAGATTTATGGTCACCATCAGAGCCACACATTTGTGGTGCGCTTGATGAGGGGTGTACATGCCACTCAAAAGCATGGGGTGACCTTGTTGAATGGAAACTTAAATCCTTTGGATTAGGTTTTCCATGGGTAGATGCAGAGGCCAAACACTTCACAGGTTTGGGCTCTACTACAGGCACCCTAGGGAGACGCAAGCTCCCTTTCTGCTTATCCTTAGATAAGGGCCATAATACCTTAGCTGGGGTCATGGAATCGCATGAGGTTGACACCGCTGCGCGGAACCCGCTCCTGATTTCGCTTTTTGCCCAGTCTACGCTAGGACTAGTCAAGGACATGTCCACATGCACTTGTACCGTTCAAGGTAAGGTGTTGGAACTAGCCAGATGTGCTGACACTGGCTTATTGCCCCTAAACTTGTCACAGTATGCCCATAGGCAGCAGAAGCTACCGCTATGCGTAAGAGAGATCAAACTACCTCCAGTTGATCATCCTAGGGCCCTTGTAGGAGCACGCCCAGCCGCAGCCATGGCTAGTGAAGGCGCCCAGGTTGTCTCCACCTGCGGGGCGTCGTAGAAATTACTTCCTTCAGGTTGCAGAAGCTGCTGATGACGACCAAGCAGGCGTCGCAGCCCAGGCGGATGAGGAGGTCGAGCCAGCTGAGCCGACGTGCGATTCAAGCCGCAGCGCGCCCCGACATTGTCTTCAATAGGGACAACGCAGGCATCGGCCACTCATTGAGGGCCGCCGCGCACAACCATGGCACAGCAGTTAGCCGAGCACAACGCCGGCTACTGCTGGCCCGTAGACGGCAAGCGGCAGGTTGAACCCGCTACGGGATTCCATGTGGGGCCAGGTGCCGCCGATCATCGTAGTGACGGCGGGTGCGAAATATTATCAATTTCCTGGCAACCCACACTGTCTCCAATGCTAACGTATGGAGACGTCTGCTACCTCAGGAGCTGACGCGCGGGAAGACGGTGTCGGTATGGGAGCTTTGCCCGCTGAAAGACGAGGCTTTCGGCGCTTGTAACGCGCGTGTTGGACGTCGTCACGCCATCATAAACAACCTCCTAGGCAGCAAGCCAGGAGTGTATTATCTGGACCAGTTGCGCGAATGCCTGAACGAGGACTATAAGTCTTTGCCTCGTTCTCGCGTGCGCGAGCAATCGGCGCCGCTCCGTGGCGTTCGGGACCATGCTGCACGCAGCTTTTTGGCCCGCGCCTATCATGTTGGTCCATCTCGACGCTAAGCGAGATGGCAACTGGAACACCATGAAATGTGGTGGTCGCTGTCCCGGCTCCGTGCTTTGTCGACGCCTGCGAGGGCCGACCCTGCTCGTCACTCACAAGCTACGGGCGCGGGGAACCCAATTTGGTCAGGTCGTCCGGTGCGTGGGACCTCTTGCGACAGGGCAATGCGCGCCGAGGCCCAGGCGGATCTGCTCAAGGACCGCGAACGGCAGCTTCAAGCACAGTGCGACTCGCTGAGGGAGCGCGCTGCAGCCGCAGAACGCGAGCTTATGATCCAGGGAGACGGTAGGTCACGCTCCTGGAGTCGATCTATGTCCGTGACCAGTGGGAGGCACGGAGCACAAGCGAGAAGAGTCCATCAAGGAAGAGTGAAGAGGCTGAAGAGGAACAAGATGCACTGAGCCCCCTAGCCCAATGGATGTCGATCATGACGACGACACGGATGCGCAGACCCGACAGCTGCAACGTTTCCACACAGCAAGCACCTGCGCCACCGCCTAGAGTGCAGCAGCTACCAGGTACAACGATATGGCCTGGGGATACGACAATTCTCTATCCCATTGGAGAAAAACGGTCTTGGTCTTCCGAGGAGGCTACGCCCGAGGCGCTCCGACTCCTTCCCTGGAGGAGGGAGAAAACCAGCGCTTTATAGTGGCCCGACCTACCCTAGAGGAAGTCGAACGCCCAAGACTGGAGAGGTCCACCTACGCAGAACGAAGCCCGAAATATTGAGCAGGACCTTCACTCCATGCGTTGCAGCAAGCCCTTCAGGCGAAGGGTCAGGGCAAGGACAAAGGCAAGGACAGACAAGGGCGGAAAGCGCGCGGGGCTGTACTCAGCACCAGGAGTGCGCCAGGCTTTCACAGGGCTTTAGAGTTAGAGTGCTACAGGGATCCCCCAACACCTCCTTTGAGTAGGCGTAGGAAGGATTCTCTGGGCTCTAGTATCCCGAACTCTAGCCGCCCAAGTAGTCCTGCACCATCCTCATCATACCCGTATCAAGCAGGAAGGGGATGTGCATGAAGGTGATGATGTAGGAGAGGTAGTTAAGACCGAGTGTGAGGATGGCTTAACTATATCATCTTCTGACCACAGATTGCCTGCTGCCAACTTCGTGTGCAATGTTGCTTCGAAGAAGGGCCGTAGGAGAACACTTGCCAAGGGTCTCCAACTGCTCAATGACCATGATGTGGCATTGCAAGCCCTTTGTTTCCCCAACAGATGTTTAACAACTGTTGGTCCCAAGCACGCAGTAGTTTTTACCTCAGAGCCCCGACCTTTCCAGGACAGCATCTTCCACACCGTCGATGTGGGAAGAGAGGCGTGGGGCAACTGGATACCTAATGGGTCCACGAAGGTATTGCAAGACATAGGTCCTAGTCTTGTAATAGTGTGCATAGGGTATTATACCCCTGACACAGCCATGCAACACTCCGATCTAGACGAAGTGGTTTCACACTGTGAGTGCACTGGTGTACCCTATCTACTTATAGATGTAAGGGACACCCCAAGGTGGCAGCAACTTTCTATCCCAATCTACCCAGTTGTGGGGATTGGTGATGTGTCATTTACTAGCAATGATAAGGAGCTATGTGATTCATTTGAGGGATGGACTTGCAACAGCTATCCTGACATGGCCCCTAGATCATTCTATGATTGCTTTGAACCAGACTTTATCGGCTGGATTAAAGACAATGCTGAAGACCAAGCAGCTATGGCTTTAGCTGCTACAGCTTTTCCTGCAGAAGTGCATGATGAGCTAGAGCAGCCATCAGAGCTTCCTTTCGATACCATAGAAGGATCGGAGGACATCGCCAAGGTTGATCCCGGCGAAGAGGCAATCCAACAAGACCTAGAGCTAGATGAGGCCGAGGTACACAACTTGCCCGCGTCTGAACAAGAGCGGCGAGAAGGTTGGAAGCAGTTACCGCAACGTATCCGTGTGGCACTGCGCTGCTTGCATAGGCAATTCGGACATTGTCCTCAGAAGGTATTAGTTAACCTTCTTCACGCAGCAAGAGTAGACAAGGCGTACGTTGACGGCGCTAAGCTACTTCGGTGTGCAGAATGTGAGGAGGCAGCTCCCAGGCGCCCCGCTCACAAGGTTGCAATGCCCGAGAAATACACCTTCAACCATTCTCTTGGCGTTGACATACTAGAAGTTTTGGATGCCAATGGTGCCAAATTTCAAGTACTAAACATGATCTGTTTAGGGACGTGTTTTCAACTTTGCGAGGTTGTCCGCGAAGGCCCAGGTCAAGCCTCAAGTTCCGTCTGTCTTGACGTTTTGAAGCGCAAGTGGATGACCTGGGCTGGGCATCCGGAAGTTCAGAGGTCTTCGCAACCGTGGCGTGCTAGCCCAGTGGATGTCATCACACGGTGTGCAGGTACACCATGCGCCGCTGGAGACTCCTGAGGCCATTGGACGCGTTGAGCGCCATGGCGGTGTTGTCAAAGGAATGGCCAGGAAGGTCATATCCCAGACTCAGGCAGTCGGATTAGCTAGTGTTCAATCCGTGCTGGATGAATGCTGCGCGACCAAGAATAGCCTACTTCGTCACGGAGGCTATTCGCCGGCGCACTGGGTTTTAGGCAAGGCTCCAAGGGGAAAGCACCTTCCCGGAATCCTCAATTACCATACGGCATCTCCATTTATCCGTAGGAAAATAGATGAGAGCCATGCAAAAGAGTGGAAGAAATATGAGGATTTTCAAGCGGCAATACCCATAAAGGGGCAAGATCGTCTTGACTTGCTTACAGAGGGACATGTCACCCTTCCCATGAAGTGGGTAGACACTATCAAGAATACACATGAACAACATAAGCCGGATTTCGAACCAGAATTCAAATCCAGGCTCGTTGGTTGTGGCAATTTTGAGGATGCCACTGGTGGTAGGACTGACGCACCTACGTCAGAT